TAAGCTCTTTTACAAGTCATACCTTGAACACGAAATGTCACGCCCAAAACGACCAGATGTGATGCAAACTGTTTCACAGTGCACTGTAATCTTACGGAATTGTTTTACAGTCCGATTCAATTGCGAATCGTCAGTCATTTCAGTGTCCAGTGGTTTTCTCATCTGAACATGTCTGTATGATGCCTCGGCAGATTGCACCCCAATGTTGTTACATACCGAGACCAGATGCCGTGTACTAGAATGTGTAATCGTGTTTTACGCCTGCCCTGATGACGAACCTCTGGGGGCGGACGGGGGGGGGGGGGGGGGACGGACGGGGACGAGAGCAGGTGAGAGCAGAGCGTTGTTGGCTCCCTCCCGACACTGCAAAAGTCGGCAGTTGAATTGACCTATCATTTTTTATAAATTCGCACTTCTTGTTCTCTGTCCTCTTTCAGTACGGACTTATCACAGCTGCGTGAAGAGTGGGTGCTCAAAACTACGGAAAGGACAAATGGAAGGATATGTAAGTGATGAAGTTGCGAAGCATTCTAGGCGTGGGAAGCCTTTGGGAGACGGCAAATATTATGGCAGTTATTTGTCTGGCGATTGTGCGTATCACTCTTGTTGTGGCATTTCGTTGCCGTTGAGGTAGTAACAATGTGCTAATCGCATCAGTTTACACCTATCGAGGCGTTATAACATTTCATCACGCTTTGCCCTCATAGCTGCACGCAATCTGTGAACGTGGGATATTCACGCATTCTGAATTGCGTTCACGCATTCATTCATTCATTCATTCATTCATTTACGATTCAAGGATCAAAACACATCACGCGGTTCAGTCTTGCTAAGGTTCCTCATTCGTTACGAACCTACCAGCTTCATCACGCGCCGCGTTATACTCACACGGATCCCGACCCGCGATCGCCCATGAGACCTGCCACAGGGGCGCTACAGGTGTAACGTTAGCTGTTTATCCAACTGGCAGGGATATATCGGGCGCTGACGACGAACAGACGTTCCTGAACTTCCAGTGCTATCCCGACAAGGCGACACTGGACTTCATCGTCATCGTCGTCAAGCATCTCGGTACGCGGCGCGGGCCAGCTCCTTTGGTGAATGTTTCGGTGATTACAGTAGAGTCGCAAAAGCACATGCGGAAGGCATATCTATGTGTGTTGATATATGTCCATGCACCCAAAGAGCGCAGACAGAAAATATTAACTCGCCGGGTGAGAGGCTTCTAAAAAGGATGAGTTTCACTGGCGAATTGTGCCACCTTTCCATGTATATAAAAGTATGCGTCTAATATTAAGCGCGTGTCTGGTTGAGAGCGCAGCATGGCAAGCGTTCGATAGGTAAACCATCTCGCATTGAAATAATTATGCTTCTATTATTTGATTTTGAATGATGCATGTTGGAGTGTGCTGGCGTACCAATTGTGCTCACTATTCCCATGTGATTATGCTGGCGTACCAATTGTGCTTACTATTCTCCATCTCTGAGACTGAGCGCGCGCTTCCCGTGTCGATTTTCCGGTAGCATGCAAGGGCATATGAATAATGCACTTAAGTGTATGCATAGTGCGTGTGTTGTGCACAGGCATTACTTTCAATACGTAATTTTATTTACCAATTTGTATGTCAGGATCGCGCACTGGGCTGCCAAACACGGAACGATTGTAAGCGAGCCACGTTCCATAGATGGCGATGCTCAGAACAATCATATTCTCCTGGGTCTTCCAGAAATCAGTCTCGAGTATTTCCTCGAGGGGGTCGGCATGCACTTTGTTGACTTCACCATCGAGAAGGGGTACGGCGAGATGCTGCACACGCTGGGCAGGACGTTTCACGCCTTCCTGGACAACCTCGACTATCTGCATGGTGAGATGGCCTTCGGGTTCAGGACCGGTGGCAGGAGGCTCCTATGGGTCAGGCGGACGTGTTTGAAACCATCCGTAGCTATCCAGCTGCGCATCCTGATTCTGGCTCAGTCTGTCCTTCGGGTTCAGGTCCGGTGGCGGGCTCCTATGGGTCGGATCGACAAGTTTGAAACATGCGTTGTTATCAGCTGCGCATCCTGATTCGGGCCGGCGCTCTGGCTCGGTTTGATGCTCTGACTCTGACCCTGACTCGATTAAACGCTGTTCATGATCTTTGCTTTAATTATAACGTGCAACAGGCCGTGTTATAACGAGCTGTTCACTAAATAGGAGCGAGCTGTAAACATCGCGACCAAGGAATATGCAGAAATAAGGCTGTGTAAGCAACATGGTTTAGGACGCGATGACGACCTTGCAGAGCGCATGGCTAATATGCATTTATTTTCCAGAGAGAGGACCGTCAACCATCGCCCTCCTGTCATACATAACATACATACATACATACATACATACATATATATATATATATATATATATATATATATATATATATTTGCATATTTTATATATATATATATATCCATCTATCTATCTATCTATGTATATCTATATCTGTCTATATCTTTATATATATTTGCATATTTATATATATATATATATCCATCTATCTATCTATCTATCTATATCTATATCTGTCTATATCTTTATATATATATATATATATATATATATATATATATACATGCTCAGTCCCATGTCATGTCAATGTCCCACGCCAATGTCATGGCGTGGCAGAGTTAGCAGAGCACTCCCATGCATGGTGCATGTTAATGATTCTCTTCGAGACACAGCGCAAGTGAAAGACGACTTCGGCGGGTTCCGTATTTCTGGGGTTTGGTGAAGCACTCACATGAAAACGGTCAGCGTTATCATATAAGGACGGTCAAAATACTGATGTCTGAACGCAGTGAGCGCGGGGACGCAGCCAAAGTCGCTCCGGGCGACAGTGTGCTGCCCTCGGTCGACCGGCTAGGGATCGTCCGTTGCTTCACCTTGGGTGACCCATTGCCCTTTTTGTTGCTAAATGTGTGAATATGTGAACAAGAGTTATGAATTGGCTGAGCAAGTACGGGACCAGAGACTGCTGATTTAGCCACGCGTAGACATGAAAACAAAACACTTCGCTTAAATCCAGTTGGCATAGGTCATCGCACACGAAAGGAGGCCGGAGCATTTTGAATCTCACGCTCACTTGAGCCTCTTCAGGGTTTGTCCGTCTCGTATCCCCTACAACCTGCTAAGCCATCTGCGAGCTCTATACAGCCAAAATCACTATTCGTGGTGCCTTATGCATAAATCTAAAGATGGAACTCCATAACAAACCACTTGTGTTTGGCGGTCGGATTCAGATCCGCTGAGACTGACAAAACTTAGCCTGCGTTTGGGCGTGGAAGCCTAAAGCTGGAACTCTGCGCCGTGAGTGGTTGAATAGGAAAAGGTGTTAGCATTCTGAGCTAAGGACCCGGCAGCCGAGATGAAGGCCTGGCTTAAATCGTGCGGCTCGAAAGTTTGACTGTTGTCGGTTTTATTCTGGGCCAACGATGCTGTCGGGCTCTATACTGACGCATGCAGGCGTTGCAGCCTTTGGTACTGCGTGATCTGATCCTTGAACCGTGACAGAGTGCTTCTCGTCATGGCAATTGACCCGGTCCTTTTTACGGTGAGCTCAACGCTTTAGCTATGGGCGCCTACGAATAACCCGCCATTGGTAGCAATGAGAGCGACTGTGCTGTTTTCCAGTTACCTGATGACGACAGCGTTCCCCGGCATCGTCATGCCGTCGTTCGCCTGTACGGAGGACGATGAAGACCCAGACGTGCTCTTCGTGGACTACTACTCACGGAGAGAGGGATTGGAGGCGCTGGCTATAGGTGAGCAGAGGCGGGGCGGATTCAGGATCAACCAATGACGAATCCTTGGGGTCAAAATAAAAAGCCGCTTTGCTAACTTTTCATCACTTTGGGTTCGTGCTTGCTTCATCCTGAGTTCATTAAAGCTCTTTTGCCGCGGGTGAAAGCGCTTTGAATTTTCTAAAATCCCAACGATAGTCACCATAGCCCGATTCTGTGCCTATTGGGGTGCCGCGGCCTCGATGGTATGTCACCACAGCCCGATTCTACACCTATTGGGAGCCGCGGCCTCGATGATATGTCACCACAGCCCGATTTCTACACCTATTGGGGTGCCGCGGCCTCGACGGTATGTCCACCACAGCCCGATTCTGTGCCTATTGAAGTGCCGCGGCCCCGATGGTATGTCACCACAGCGCGATTCCCACCTACTGGGGAGCCGCGGCCTCGATGGTATGTCACCACAGCGCGATGCCACGCCTACTGGGGTGCCGCGGCCTCGATGGTATATCACCAACAGCCCGATTCTACACCTATTGGGGTGCCGCGGCCCTCGATGGTATGTCACCACAGCCCCGGATTCTAACACCTATGGGGTGCCGCGGCCTCGATTGGTATGTCACCACAGCCCGATTCTACACCTATTGGGGTGCCCGCGGCCTCGATGGTATGTCACCACAGGCCCGATTCTACACCTTATTGGGGTGCCGCGGCCTCGATGGTATGTCACCCCAGCCCGATTCTACACCTATTGGGGTGCCGCGGCCTCGATGGTATGTCACCACAGCCCGATTCTTACACCTATTGGGGTGCCGCGGCCTCGATGGTATGTCACCACAGCCCGATTCTACACCTATTGGGGTGCCGCGGCCTCGATGGTAGTCACCACAGCCCGATTCTACACCTATTGGGGTGCCGCGGCCTCGATGGTATGTCACCACAGCCCGATTCTACACCTATTGGGAGCCGCGGCCTCGATGGTATGTCACCCCAGCCCGATTCTACACCTATTGGGGAGCCGCGGCCTCGATGGTTATGTCACCCACAGCCCGATTCTACACCTATTGGGGTGCCCGCGGCCTCGATGGTATGTCACCACAGCCCGATTTCTACACCTATTGGGGTGCCGCGGCCTCGATGGTATGTCACCACAGCCCGATTCTACACCTATTGGGGAGCCGCGGCCTCGATGGTATGTCACCACAGCCCGATTCTACACCTATTGG